CAATAAAATAAATCACCTGATACTAGATTATAAAAAATACCCATGAGTCTGTATTAATACAAATCTCTATATACAAAAGGCTAAAATGCAACGTGTCCCCGTGGGAGTTTGACTGGGAGACCAAAAGTTCTATTGCTCGCTATGATGTGTGCTGACCACCAGGGGGAAGCACAGAACAAAGGAAGGCCCTGGCCAGCAGCTGGCAGCTGGGGAAGGGAGGCTCAGGCTGACAGCTGGAAGGTCCCAATCAGCCCTGATCACCAGCCAGGCCTAGGGATCCTACCCATGCACGAATTTCATGCACCGGGCCTCTAGTGTTTTAATAAATTATTAAGAGGGGAAGAATACACAAATCTCCAACCCAGAATTCCAAATAATTTATGTAGACACTCTGCCTTTGTCAGACTATATATCACTTGGTTCTCTCACCTGTTTCCTTCTTGAGCTAGTAAATTCCATAGAGGAAGATACTTTGTAAGTAATCTGTATGTTGCTAGTGCTGCCTAAAACACATGACCTGAGTTCGGTAATGATTACTTAATTGAATAAATAAATTTGACATAAGAAGTAAAAGTATGAATGTATTTTTAAAGGATGAAATAATATAGTGAATATATCTCAACATAAATAAATACACACATACATAAAAAGTATTATTGAAGAGAGTAAGGAGTGCTTAACATTTTGCAATGTCTGTGGGGCAAGACTGTTCTAGAAAATATTCTGGAATAGATCACTGATCTGAGTCAGCACGTCATCTCTAATGTCCTGTTTGGTTTGAAACACAAATGATATGTCCTGTCTATAACTTATAGGCATACCTTAGAGATAGTGTGATTTCAGTTCCAGACCACCATAATAAAACAAGTACTGCAATAAATTGAGTCTTAGTCATTTTGCTGGTGGAGGGTCTTGCCCTCAATTTTTTAAAAAATGCAACACCTCTGAGACTCAATCAAGCAAAGCACAGTAAAATGAGGTATTCTGTAAATTCTCAAACACACATCTACTACTCCTTCTTGCCTGTGAAAGTCAGTATCTTGAGGAGAAACTAAGATGGCGGCATAGATAAACACCGGGAAATTGCCGCTCCCACAACAATTGAAAAATACCCTAAAGGACAGAGTGGACATCACCCAGAACAACAGAAAGGCTGGCTGAGTGTAAATTCTACAACTAGAAGGAAAGAAAAGCACGCTGAGAGCCAGAGGCGCTGCGGAGGTGAAGTGCAGAGGTACGGCGGCGCGCGCGCGCGGGCAGAAAGGGGGTGGCACCTGAGGACGCGGCTGTTTTTTTGAATCACAAGCTCCTGACTGCTCTGAACTCCGGTTCTGGGAAGTCTCTGGGGACTCAGGACTCATACGGGGAGGAGCGGACTCTCGGGCAGCGGGCGAACTTGAGTGCGGCTTTCCCTCAGAGGTGCTTGCAGCCACTACCGGGACACTGAGACCCGCGACTCCCGGCGGAGAATCGGCCGTAGCTGCTTTCTCTGCTCTTTGACTCCCTGAGACCCCGCCCCACCCAGGCTGCGGCAGAGGCTTTTGCATGTGAATGTACCTAACTGCAGCCGAACCAGGCAGACCCGGAACTTCCAAGAGAAGGCCCAAGGCCCCGCAGCGGCTTGCATTGCTTCACAGCTGAGCCTCTTCCTGGCTCCTGCTGTGTGGCCTCAGGCAGAGGCTGAATTAGCACCTCCTTAGATCCAGGAGCCACTGTACCCAGTGGTCAGAGAGGGACCATCCAGATTGCAATTCCTCAGATCCATAAGGGACACACTCAGGGAGCAGACTCAGTGAGCACCAAAGCCCCACTGAAGCAAGTCTTGCCCCAGAAGGGTGTCTTCAGCACAGAAGTTCTCCCACTTTAGACACAGCTGATTCTCACAGCCAATTGGCCTGGAGGTCAATTCCTCCCAGTGATCCTACAACAACCAAGGCACCAAGAGTGCACCAAGAGTGTCCACCCCAGGTAACTGGGGAGGCTGAGCCACTGGGCCCTACAGGACACCTGGCACGCAGGGCCACTCTATCAACACAGGGAAGCAGCCAAAATGCGGAGACAAAGAAACAGGGCACAAATGGCAGAAATGGAGGAAAGCAAACGACTGGATATAGAGTTCAAGGCCACGTTTATAAGGTTTTTCAAGAATTTTATGGAAACCGCCGATAAATTTAATGAATCCCTCAATAAGTATAGTGAGACCATGGAGGACATGAAAAAGGACCAACTAGAAATTAAGCATACACTGACTGAAATAAAGAATAATTTACAGAGATCCAACAGCAGACAAGAGGATCCCAAGAATCAAGTCAAAGATTTGAAATACAAAGAAACAAAAAATACCCAACCGAAAAAGAAAAAAGAAAAGAGATTCCAAAAATATGAAGATAGTGTAAAGAACCTCTGGGACAACTTCAAGCGTACCAACATCAGAATTATAGGGGTACCAGAAGGAGAGAGAGGGCAAGATATTGAAGAAATATGACAGAAAACCTTTTTGAAGAAATAATGACAGAAAACTTCCCCTACCTGGTGAAAGAAATGGACTTACAAGTCCAGGAAGCGCAGAGAACCCCAAACAAAAGGAATCCAAAGAGGACCACACCAAGACACATCATAATTAAAATGCCAAGAGCAAAAGATAAAGAGAGAATCTTAAAAGCAGCAAGAGAAAGACAGTCAGTTACCTACAAGGGAGTACCCATACAACTGTCAGCTGATTTCTCAACAGAAACCATGCAGGCCAGAAGAGACTGGCAAGAAATATTCAAAGTGATGAATAGCAAGAACCTGCAACCAAGATTGCTTTATCCAGCAAAGCTATCATTCAGAATAGAAGGTCAGATAAAGAGCTTCACGGATAAGAAAAAGCTAAAGGAGTTCATCACCACCAAACCAGCATTATATGAAATGCTGAAAGGTATTCTTTAAGAAGAGGAAGAAGAAAAAGGAACTCTTACCATTTGCCACAGCATGGATGGAACTGGAGAGCGGATAAATACCACAGGATCTCACTCATTTGTGGAATATAATGAACAACATAAACTGATGAACAAGGACTGATCCAGAGATGGAGAGGCATTGATTGGACTGTCGGGCCTTGGAGGGAAGGTAGGGGAGGGTAGGGGTAAGGGGGAAAGATCAACCAAAGGACTTATATGCAAGCATATAGGCCTAACCAATGGACACGGACAACGGGGGGGTGAGGGCATGAGCCGGGGGGGGCGGGGGGGTAGAGGGTAACGTGGGGACAAGGACACATATGTAATATCTTAATCAATAAAAAATATATTATATATAAAAAAAAAAAAGAAAGTCAGTATCTTACCACAAGAAAGAAGGAGTGGTAGATGTCTTCCTTGGTCGTCACTGCTGCCTTGATCCTCACAGCTGCTTCTCCCTGCTTTCTCAAACTCCCACCTTCTTGAAGCACCCGCTATCTCTAGCTCAGTGGTTCTCGACCCTCCTAATGCCGCGACCCTTTAATACAGTTCCTCATGTTGTGGTGACCCCCAACCATAAAATTATTTTCGTTGCTACTTCATAACTGTAATTTTGCTACTGTTATGGATCGTATTGTAAATACTAGCTGATTAACACAAAAACATACTTCTATTATTTTCCAGTAGGTGGAGCTGGATCACAAGGTTTTTAGCTCTGTGAGATCTCAGCATTGTCTGCCTTGACCTCTCTCTGGTCAGTGTAGCCAGGATGCCTTGGGGTGGGCTGGGGAATCCCTACACTCCTTTGTTGTTTTATAGTCGTTTTTGTTGTTGTTGTTGTTTTACATTCAGTAATGGAGACCTCGGTCCTCTGCCAGGGTCCTCCCTGTGTTCTGGTTAAAGAGTGTACCCTTTGCTTAGGGAGAAATGTGATTCTGCAGTATTAGGTGTGTGCCCTTGGGCACGCAGTTAATGTGGTCTACAACCTGACATCAAGGGCAAAGGGAGGCAACCTCTGGGAGGTTAAGGGTAGGCGGCCAGGCTTTGTGGCTTTGCTTCGCTGTCTGAATTGCCAACAGCCCGACAACTGTGGCCGCTCTCCCTTGGTGTGTTTTTGCCCAGGTCTCTGTGCTCAGCTGCAGCTATTGCTGCTCATTCCTGCAGGAGTGTTCATGTACCAGCCGTGGGCAAACTATGGCCCGCGGGCCAGATCCGGCCTGTTTGAAATGAATAAAACTAAAAAAAAAAAAGACCGTACCCTTTTATGTAATGATGTTTACTTTGAATTTATATTAGTTCACACAAACACTCTAGCCATGCTTTTGTTCCGGCCCTCCGGTCCAGAGTTTAAGAACCCATTGTGGCCCTGGAGTCAAAAAGTTTGCCCACCCCTGATCTCTGCTCCTCCCAGATGAATGGTGTGTCGGTGACAACCAGATTCCTCTCTCCCTGGATGAGCTCCTGGCTACTGGGCTGTGTTTCTGGCTCGTATTGTCAGTGTAGGTAGCTAGTTCTTGCTATGAGGAAATAGCTAGTTATTAATATAAGGAGAAATGCAAAGGGGAACTAAAAAAATCTTAATAAACTGGGAAGCAGAAGCAGGTAACAGAGCAGAATTCCATCTAGTTTACTGGTAAACACTCATTCACACACTCCAGAGAACCGCCCCCCCAAAACTCCCCCCACTCCTCACCAGGAGACTTAATTCTCGGAACAGGATAGGAAAAGCTAGCCTGGGAACAATCAAAAAGGTGATCAGATTGGATAGAGTGGATAGAGGACATGAAACCCCAAGAAAACTTACTGGGAAGAGGGCCCAATCCAGGCCTGGAAAAGTTAGGAATTTGGGCTGGATAGTGTGGTTCTTTGTTCTTTACCTAAACCTAGAAGATATATGGAGGATTAATAGGAGCCTGTGGCAGTGCTTTAGAGCTCACCCTCTATGTCCCCCAAGGTGTATTAATTCCCCTTAATCCTATATAATAAAAGCCTAATATGCAAATCGAGCAAACGGCGGGACAACTGGTGGAACAACCAGTTGCTATGACTCACACTTACCACCAGATGTTCAACGCAGAAGCTGCCCCAGCCCGCAGGCCACAGGCCAGCCAAGACGGGTGCAAGCGGGGGATGCACAGTTGCCCCACTGGTTGCCCCACAAATTGGCCCTGTGACAGAAAAAGACATTTGGAACAATCTCTTAGGTGGTCTGTGTAACATGTGTGAGTGACAAGGGTTGGTAGTACGGAATGAGACATCCATCTATAATAATAAAAGCGTAATATGCTAATTACCCACAAAGCTCCAGCAGGTGGGACTGTAGCAGCAGCGGTAGGCGGGGGGCGGGGCCCGGGGGCCAAGGCCCTTGCACGTGCATCAGGCCTCTAGTATAATAATAACACAAAGTAAGAATTGTTAAATACCATTCATTATCAGTAAAAGCCTGGATTTGTCCCAAATCCAGGACTATCTTTGCCCTCTTCTGCCTAGTATTTATTCCTCGGTTGTTTTTGTTGTTGCTCTCTTTCTTGAATTTCATTTCTTCTGGGGTTGCTCACTGCATATACTGTTTCTTAGCTTGGAATAGCTTTCCCCTTCTTTTTAGGTGGGCATTTTACTAATTTAAGGTTATTTCCTAATCACCCCTTCCCTGGGCCCCCAAACTGACTGCTCCCTACAGCACTTAGGGGTTTTTGTTTTTTTACTTATTGAGGCTCAGTGCACAAAATTCGTGCACTAGAGAGGTGGGTCCCTCAGCCTGGCCTGAATCCTCTCGCAGTCCTCGACCCCTCGGGGGATGTCTGGCGTAAGCTGGCAGTCAGACATCCCTCTTGCAGCCCGGGGCTCTTGCAGTGGAGGACCCCTTGCTCCTTACCACCTGCCTGCAGTGGAGGTGGGAGAGGCTCCCACCACCGCTATCACACTCTCCAGGTGAGCCCAGCTTTTGGCTGAGCAGCACTCCCCCTTTGGGAGCACACTGACCATCAGGGAACAGCTCCTACTTTGAGCGTCTGCCCCCTTGTGGTCAGTGGAGTCATAGCGACCCATCATTCTGCTGCTCGGTTGATTTGCATATTACGGTTTTATTATATAGGGTTGATTTTTTACAGAGAGGAAGGGAGAGGGATAGAGAGTTAGAAACATCCATGAGAGAGAACCATCCATCAGCTGCCTCCTGCACACTCCCTACTGGGGATGTGCCCGCAACCAAGGTCCATGCCCTTGACCGGAATGGAACCCGGGACCCTTTAGTCCACAGGCCGACGCTCTATCCACTGAGCCAAACAGGTCAGGGCCAGCCCTTAGTTTTAACCTCGAGCAATCCTGCCGTCAGTGGGAAGCCCGGGTTCTTATTCCCTCTAGGAACCCACCTCTCCGGGTCGCCTACGACCAAGAAACCGCTTTTGGCGAAACTGAGGCCAGGTGAGCGGCCGGGAAGAAAGCACCGGTCCTCCGGGTACTGAACACGGGAGACTGGGTGGCAGCCCGAGTGACGTTCGGGGACCGCGTCCATCCGCACGCGAGGCCCGGACTCAGCGAACCGCTCCCCAGGGCAGTCCCGCGCGCAGAGGCGCCGGTGCGGCCCCTGGTTGACTGCGGCGGACGCCCCGCCCGGCGCCGGAGGCTGCGCGCGGCTGCCCACCATCGAGGCGGCAGCGCTAGAGAGGCCGGCGGGCACGGGCACAGCGCGGCCGCAGGGAACGCGCGCGGGTGGGGCGGGCTGTAGCCATTTTAGGAGGAATCCCGGATTGCTACCCGGGCGCGGCTTCAATTTCAATAACTTTATTGGTGGCCTTTTCCTCGGAACACCCATCGCATCGGCGGCCGGGTAGGCGGGAGCGCGTCGCGGGCGGGGGTCGGGGTGCGGGCGTGAGCGTGGGGATGCCTGGGGGTTCCCGACAGCGGGATTCCTGGGCTGCGCGCAGCGAGGGAGCGAGGCGGCTGGAGACGGGTGCGCACGGCGTTCCCGGAGGCCCGGGAGGGTAGCGACCCCGAGCCGGCTTCCCTGCGGCGGGGATTCCCTGAACCGGAACCCCGGGCGAAGGGGCGGGGCCGGAGGTGCCCCTGACGCGCCGCCGGGGTGTTCCCCGCCCCGGGTTGTTCCCCACGACAGGTGGCCCCCGACGCGAGCCGCAGCCATGGGCAACACCGCCAGCGACCGGGTGGCCGGGGAGCGCCACGGCGCCAAGGCTGCGCGCGCGGAGGGCGCCGGCGGCCCGGGCCCGGGCAAGGAGCACAAGATCATGGTGGGCAGCACCGACGACCCCAGCGTCTTCAGCCTGCCCGACGCCAAGGTGAGCGAGCCCACGCCCCCCGCGGGCGGCGATCCTGCGGCGGCCTGGGCGCCGCTGGTCCAGGTGACGGCGTTTGTGAATTCAGGGGATTTTCCGGGGGTGGAGATGTTGGATGGCGATTCCTCTTGCAGTGCTGCCTCCAAACAGAAGTGAGATTTTTCTCGTTTTCCGGCCGCTCTGTTGGCCACTTTTTTAGGATGACAAGGAGGACGCTCGCCCCCTTATCTTTGATTCTCTAACAGGAAGGTGTCCTCTTCCAAAGTATTGGTGATTATATAGGTTGTAAGCGCCGGTGGAAAACTCCAGTGTCTCACATTTGCCCCGAGGTGGGGAAACGAATGTCATGTTTACCCTTCCAGGAGCTCAGCACTTCGGGTCCTTTTCCCTTTGGCTTGGCGGTGAGTGGCAACCGCCTGCTTACTTGAGTACTTTCTCCTGGCAGTGGGGCTCCATCAAGGACATCGCTGCTCGGTTTCTGCCCCATACTCTGGCCGTCTGCAGTGACTGAGGTTGTGCTTCTCTCCTGCCCAGCTGCTCCTCAAGCGGCAGAGCAAATAATTCCAGGCTTTCCCCGTTTCCCCGTAGCAGTACTTCATAATGCTACCATGGCTGAGAAGGACCACCCACAGCTGCTCCGGAGAACTTGCTCTCCGTTCCTAGGTCTTTCAGGAAAGCAGTAACCTGTGTTCACTCTACAGCAAGGACCGATGGAGCTGACAGCAGTATGATTACCATCCAAATGCTTCTAATCACTTTTAGAGCTGTCAGCATTAAATGCATTATGAAGTTAAAAAAAATGGAGAGATTGAGGAGATTGGAGTGTGTTTGAAGTTTCTTATTTCTTCAACAGAGAATGATCTGCCTAGTTGGTGGCGCATAGAATTTGGTTATTTTCTTGGATCCCAACTGAGAACGTCATCAGAGAAAGGAGGACTGAGGGTGATTAAAGGGACCATTTCTTGGGGTTTCTTTTCTGTTCCTTTCTTCTCCCACTTCTGGACTCCTTCCTCATCATTTGGGCTGTCCATCCAGCCATCAGAATTTACTCATTCCAGGTTTCTCAATGTGATCTACCTCCCTGTATTTTTCCCATTTTCCTACATTGATGACTCAGGAATTAAGAATAGCGTTTTTGTCAAACTGTGAGTGTGGTAATCGGTGTTCCTGGATTGAAGCCAGGTGGCTCTATCTGAAATGGAGCCTATTTCGGATCATTCTTTCCCTTCCCTCGGTCTTGCCATTTGTGAAATAAGAAAATTGGTTCAGGTCATTCCTAAGATCTCTACCAAATCTAAAATTTTACAGTTCTCAAGTTACTGTCTTCTTCCCTCAATGTTTTACTTGAACATTTCATACTGTAATTCTAATTGTCTCTTTCCCTGATGACTTTGCTGACAATTTAACTTGGAGTAAACAGTCTTTCTGCTAGTCAGCTGTACTCATATCTACCACAGAAATGTCATGTCATACATGGAAGGGCTTTCTTCCAAAGCTAGGCATATTAATAGTTTGTAGCTTTCAAATTCTAAATCGAAAATCCTAAATCATAAAAGTAACTGATAGAAACAGTGGCAGTGGGGCCTACATTGGTTTGAATGCCAACCTTCTTCAGTTCTCAATTCTGTTTGCACATGAAAATCAGCTGATATTTGTTTAAACACTTTATGGAAAATTTGAAACATTTTCCATGTTTCGAAGTTTAGGAAGAACAATGTAATGAACTCCTAAATACCTGTCACCCAGTTTAAACAATGATCACATCATGAATGAATTTATATAACCTATATCCATTCACTCTCCCCACCAATTATTTTGAAGCAAATTCCAGACATGTCATATGTTATTTTATCTATTTTAGGACAGATCTCTAAAAATGAGGGGTGTTTTTTTTCTTTGTTTAACATTATTATATGGGAAACTTAAAAGAGATTCCCAGGCCCTATCTTTGAATCAGAATCTGAGAATTATTCTTAGACATACGTAGACATTTTGTAATTCTAATGCAGCTTGTCAGACAAGAGTGCATTGCTTTAAGAATATGGAGACCAGGTTTTCTCTTAAGCCATTTATATAATGTGCAAGTGCCTTCATTTCTCTTTCTCTGTTTACTTCAGATTATACAGCTACTGGTGACTCAGTGCAGTTTTGAGGACGATCGAGAGGCAGTGTGGAAGGTAGACTGCCGCAGCCATTTTGAAAATAAAGCCCAAATGAATAAGCTAGCCCTTTAAAAAAAAAAAGACAACATTACTTTATTTGATAATCTCCTTTTAAAATATGTTTTATTGATTCTAAAGAGAAAGGAAGGGAGAGGGAGAGACAGAGAAACACCAATGTGAGAGAGAAACATTGGTTGGCTGCCTCCTGCACACCCCCCAACTAGGGATCGAGCCTGCAACCTGGGCATGTGCCCTGACCAGGAATCCAACAGGCAGCCTTTCAGTGCATGGGATGGTGCCCAACCGACTGAGTCACCTGGCCAGGGCTATTTGGTAATCTTTTCACTTGATACTGTACAGTCTATTTTCTCTACTTACCGACGTCATTTAAGCCTATGTAAAGTGGGGCTCAGCAAACTTTTTTCTGTAAAGAGCCAGGTAGTAAATATTTTAGACTTTGCAGACCATATAGGCTCTCACAACTACCCGTTTCTGCCACTATAGCATGAAAACAGCTGAGAGATACTAAGTAAGTAAATGAATACTAAGTAAATGAATGAGTGTGCTATTTTCCAATAAAACTTTATTTATAAAACATCTGGCTTACTGGCCATAGTTTGCCAACTCTCCTTCAAAAGGATGGTGTGTGGAGAGACTATTCTAAGACATGTCCTCTACCTACATCCAGCTAGATCCCCGCCAGAACAGAGATTGCTTCCTGTAAATCCGCTCAGAGATTGTTTGATTGACCCCTCCCATAGGTCCCAGGTGTACTGGTTCCAGAACAAGTCCTTGCCCTGCCCTGGGCAGGCACTAAGGCTATTTCACCTTATCTAGGGCGGCTCCTGCCCCAGTACTCCTATCCATTTTGCTCTGTTCTATATATTTCTTCAGTGCCTGCTGCAGGGCTTGGAGTTTATCCACATTATCTTGCTGAAGCCCAAGATGAACCTCATGTAAGTTCCCTTAATAAACTCTGATGTAATGATGGCAGCACTGTCAACCTCTTTCTTCAGTCTCTCAGTCCCAGGAAATTTCCCAACGTGGTAATGAAAAGAAACTAAGTAAGGAGTCCATATTTTTCAGAGCCCGACAGACCTCATTTGATACTGGAACTGCTTTTGTTGAAGGAAGCTGTGTTTTTGACCTGATGTTTCTTGAGGCTCCGGAATTTTCATTCCTACTCCTGAAATAATTAGTATGGTGGGTAAATAAGAGTTCATAACCAATTCTCAAAACTTAAGAAAACAATGATCTGGTTTTTATGTTTTTAATGCCCTTTGTAACCTATTAGCTAAAATGGAGTTTATGAATTATTTATGAAATTCAGTATCTCTATCTTCCATTGCAACTGATAATTGAGAGCTGTTCATACTTGCACGTGAAAAATACATGGCGAATGTAATTATTTTTTAAAGAACCACTAGAGGCCCGGTGCACGAAATTCATGCACAGGTAGGGTACCTAGGCCTGGCCGGCGATCAGGGCCGATATGTGGGGTGACTGGGGATGGGGGACCTGCAGGCACTCGCCTTGGCTGGCCTGGCACTGCCCACTCGCTGGCCCCGCTCCCCACTGCCAGTGGTTGCCTCCCTCTGTGGGGCGATTGGGGGGGCCCCCACTGGCACCTGCCTTGGCCAGCCTGGTATCGCCCGCTCGCCGGCCCCACCCTCTGCCACCGGTTGCCTCCCTCTGTGGGGAAACAGGCGTGGTGATTAGGGGGCTCCCGCTGGCACCCTCCTTGGCTTGCCTGGGGCCTGCGGGCTGGGGGCAGCTCCTGCATTGAGTGTCTGCCCCTGGTGGTCAGTGCACGACATAGCGACCAGTCATTCCTCTGGTCGTTCCGCTGTTTGGTCGATTTGCATATTAGGCTTTTATTATATGGGAGTAGAGGCCCAGTGCATGAATCCATGCAGGGGTGGGGTTTCTTGCCCTGGCCAGCTATTGGGGTGGCTGGCCTGGGGGAGGGACCTCGAGAGGTAGGCCTGCTGGCCCAGGGGAAGGACCACGGGAGGTTGGCTGTGGGAGTGCATTGACCACCACGGGGCAGCTCCTGCATTGAGCATCTGACCCCTAGTGGTCAGTGCCGTCATAGCGACCGGTCGACCAGTCG